TCATTTCTAATATTAAAACATCACTTGTAAGTCTTGGTTACACTACACAGTGGCTCAATGACAATTTCTAAGACTTATGATGGATAGACAGGAGGAAAGGACAAAGAAAAACCAAGCAGCATCACTTCGGTCGGCCGAAGCAAAACTGCACTGAACCGGTTAGCGGAAATGGCCAACTGGTCGACTGATTGTGAACCCCACAACTTCCAGAGGCTATAGGAAGAATCGGTCGACCGAAATGCCATTTCGGTACCGGTTAGCGGAAATGGCCAACCGGTCGACTGATTGTGAACCCCACAACTTCCAGAGGCTATAGGAAGAATCGGTCGACCGAAATGCCATTTCGGTCGACCGAAATGCCACTTCGAGCTGTGATTTAGCTACTAAAATGTTGTGACTGAGAGGATGAAGTGAGGCTTTGGTTGAAGCCTCAAAACTATTCTAAACCTGTCCCAACACACTTTAAAAATGATACTTCATACCATGATGAAAAACATCGACAATTTCTCACATTGTTACAATATTTCCCATTCATTTTGTATACGAAGAACATAGTTTTTACATTTTGTTCAAATTTACATCAAAATAGAGCTAAGACTCATAGTTGAATTACAAGGCCATACTAGCTTGCTTAAATACATTCCAAAATGAAGCGTTTACAAAAGAATAGCTCAAGGATACAAAAGTTAGCAAAAATGGACTTCTAGCGACCCTCAAGCTTGCGGTGGATTGTCATCCGCCACTTCCTTCCCTTATCCTGAAAAATGTTAAATATAAAGGGGTGAGAAAATTTTGCTCAGTAGGTGGTGCCTAAGACACACTTCTTGTAACCCCGTGAATCCAAACAATAAATAGAACAACAGGCAACGGGATCATGCTATGCCGGGGGAAATACAACATCAATTTTCAAATCTAAATGAACAATATAGTGCTATGAAATACAATGTTGTGCTATATTGCTCCCTATTTTTAAAACCATCTATCACTTTTCAAACTGTTAATATAACCCGTCCCTTAGTGACTCCGCGGTGACACAAGAGAATGATTGGCTATTGTTCCTGACCCTTGGTACCTCCGCAGCGTCATTTTGGCCCAGATAGCTCAACCACGCTAGGGTGATTCCCATAGTTCCCTCTAGGTTACATTAACTCCACGGAACTTTGGTACCTCCGCGGCGTCCGGGTTTTCACAAAACCACTTTATCAAAACTTTTTCCCCAAAATCTTTTTTTTTCATTTCAAGTCAAATCTTTCCCCTTTTCTTCCCAATGCTTATGCATGAATGCATCATGCCATGTCAATAATCTTCATTCTTCAACAAATTCAAACCTAAACTACATAGCATGCTTTACAAGAAATTCTAAAAAAATTACACATGCTTTCACATAGCATTTCTAGCAAGTTAACAACACAATAGGCATAAAAGATTAACACTTAGGCATGCTTTTATATCAATCAACTACCATACATAGTCATGAACTTCATCTACCACAATTAAAACATTTTAAGAATAATCAATACAAATTAAGCATGCTTGATAACAACTTGCATAGAATTAATTCACAAAAAAAAACACAAGAATGCTTGGATTGGAGACCCCTACCTCAATGACAAAGCAAATGTGATGACCTTGTGGGCGGGTGTGAGACACTGACAGGCTACCATACTAGCGAGCTACGGGTGCACAGTACCACATTGCCTGGGTTAAGGAAAGGTGAAGTGCTTATATGTAGGTGTGTCACTCTAATTGGTATGAAGCCTTTTGGAGTAAAGCCCAAGAGCAAAACCGTGCGGGCTAAGGCCCAAAGCGGACAATATCATACCATGTGGTGGATTGGGTCGTTACAAATGGTAAAAGAGCCTAACCCAGCCAGAAGTGTGCCGACGGGGACGTCGGGCCTCCAAGGGGAGTAGATTGTGATGACCTTGTGGGCGAGTGTGCCGTAGGTGGGTGCAAGACACTGACATGCAACCACACTGGCGAGCTACGGGTACACAGTCCCACATCGCCTAGGTAAAGGAAAGGTGAAGTGCTTATATATAGGTGTGTCACTCCAATTGGTATAAGGCCTTTTCAAATAAAACCCAAGAGCAAAACAATGCGGGCTCAGGCCCAAAGCGAACAATATCAGACCATGTGGTGGAGTGGATCATTACAGCAAACCCCCAAAATGGGTCAAAAAATTCAAAATTCCTAGGGTGGCCAAATGTGTGAATTGCTTATACCAACGTGTAGATCTCGCCGTACTCTCCAATTTGCCGCAAACGGCACCAAAAATTTCTAATAGGTTAAAAACTAATCAAAGTTTGAAATCTTGAAAAAAAAAAAAAAAAAAAAAAAAAAAAAAAAAAGAAGAAGAAGAAGAAGAAGAAGAAGAAAGAGGAAAGAGGGCTGCCAAGAGAGTGAGGAAAATGGGAGGCCAAACATGGCCTCTTAGCCACTAATACAATTGGTTAGTGGTGGTGGGTCCCACCACTAAAGAAAAGTCTACTTTTTCTTTTATTTTGCACCACACATGTATAAATATACACTAACCACAATATAACTATATAAAATACATTAAATAAAATAAATGAAGTGCAAATGGACCCAACCATAATCCCCGTACGCGACAATTCTGGTAGTGGGTCCCACACGGGACTTTCTGGCCCGAAAAATGAAAAAATGCCGAAACGGCAACCTTTACATTTCCAAGAGTCCCGAACTCAATGGAATGCCCCAACCAACTCTCTAACACACCCAGCACACCCCACTATGTCCGGCACACAAAACGTGAAAAGACGAAAATGCCCTTACCAAAAAAGAAAATTTCAGAAAATGAAAAATGGTAAAAATTGAAAACATTACAGTCTCTCACAAAGATTAAGTTGGTATTGACCACCAAAACTAGGTAAGCCTCATATTAAGACAAGGTAGGTCCCTCAACCGTCAAGACTAGGTAGGTATTGACCTCCAAGACCAAATAGGTCTCTCACAAAGATCAAGTAGGTCTTGATCACTAATACCAGGTAAGCCTCACAGCAAAACAAGGTAAGTCTCTCACCAAGATTATGCTTGTGTCTACCACCATGATCATGTAGTTCTCTCACTAAGATCACGTAGGTTTTAACCACCAAGACCATTTAGGTCTTAACTTCCAATACCAGAAAAGACTTGACTATATTTTAAGAGAAATATGCTAAAGTATCAATGGAAATCATGCAGAGGTGGGTCGCTAGCATACAATTGCACCCAGTAAAGATGTTTTTGAAGAACGAATATAATTGGTCATCTAATCCAAGGAAGATGATAGAGACTATCATTCAATAATTTACAGGTCGCATCACCATAGCATCCTCAAACACGACTACTCCCTTTATAAAGGAAGAGCTGGGTTAAGCTCCTATGATTCCCTCCATTATTAAAGGGATGAACTCATGAAGCTCGGGAAAATTTAATTCCTTATTAAAGACAAATTCATGAAGCTCGACATAAAAGGTAAGCTCACAAAACTCGAAAAATTCACTCTCTTATTAAAGGGTGAACTCACGAAGATCGGGAAAGCCTATTCCCTTATTAAGGCGAGCTCATGAAGCTCGGTGAAATACACCTCCCTTTTAAAAGGGCGAGCTGAGTGAAACTCATAAAATATAATTCCCTTATTAAAGGGCGAGCTGAGTGAAGCTTGTAAAAAATATTTTTATTATTAAAGAATAAGCTAGGTGAGTTTGACAAATTCTACTTCCTTTATTAAAAAGACAAATTGTGCAAAGCTTGGAATACCTACTCCTTATAAAAGGATTAGCCAAGAATAACAACTTCTTTGTTAAAGGGCCAAGATGAAAGCAACAATACACGCAGATTGAAAACAGCTTAACCCGACAAAAAGAAGAAAAACAGTGTGACATTCTCGATAGTTGACGAGCAAGCTCTGGAATAAGGGACAACTGATAAGGATAATTTAAATAAGATAGTTTAAACGAATTGGATAAGGTAGTTCAACCGTAGTTGACTAGTTTGAAATTAAACAGAAGTAGTTGAGCTGATAACAAGTAAATCAAAACAGTTCAAATTCAAACGGAAGAGTCTCCTCGAATATATCCTCAAATCCCAACAAGTCGTAACAGCTATACTAGAGCATCGTTATAAATATGACCTCTCACCAACTAAAGAGATATGAGATAATTAATACATTAAATTCCTGTTTTTACTTCAGAGCTCCAGTAACTGACTTAATCGTCGGAGAGCTCTTAGCAACACCACACCAGTGTCGATCAAAATTCACCTCTTTATTACATAGAAATAATGTCGTTTGGAATCGTGCAAAATCATGCTTCAAAAGTTAACATTTGCCGTATCATCAAATATGTCAAATTTGACCTATCAAAAAATGGTTTGCCAAATGAATTTTATCCATTATTTTAATCTGGTTGAGCACCTGTGGGGCGGGGCTTTTCAAGGTGACAGTAGAGCATGTGATTTAGTACAGATATTATGCATTGTCATTTTTGTTATTTTTTAAATGAATTTTATTTATAATTAATGTATTATTGTTTGTTTAAATATATATTGTACTCGTATTTTATAATTGCAATAAACTTAGCTGTTTTATTACAACCATCGAATAAAATTAGTCATTTACATAGTTGAATAATCTAGACGTCAGAAGATATTTTATAATGTATTAATATAAAATATAAATAAATTAATAAATTTGGCATAACAATTGAAATATGTCAAAAATATCAAATGCCAATTTGTCACATTATACCTCAAAAATAATTTGAGGTACCAAATTTTGACATATTAGTTAGAGATACTTTACAATTTTTTAATAAAAAAAAAAAATTATTAAATTTGTTGCCGTTCTAACCAAGAACCAAAAAAAAAAAAACATAGAACCATGCCCCTCGTGATTGGTGCTTATCAATCACTCCAAGACACACAAGCCTTGTACTCCTTTATCGGATAAGGAAAATCTTTCACTCCACATCCAATTGGAGATAAAACAATCAAGAACCACATGGCAACCCCATCCACCACCACACACCAATGGCCACTATTCTCACACCTTCAGCCCTCTTCTCCTCCTCCTCCTCCTCCTCCTCCACCACCACCATCACTCCAAAACCTCAACAACCCCTACCCAAACCCCAACAACCCACAATCCCACCCTCCAAACCACCCCTTAAAAACTTAACCACCACCCTAACCGCCGCAGCCGTTGCCGCCACAATTCTAACCACCTCTACCCCCTCCCTAGCAGACTCACCCACAGCCTACAACGTCTACTACGGCACCGCCGCCAGCGCGGCCAACTATGGCGGCTACGGCGGCAACTCCAGCAAGAAAGACTCCGCGGAGTACATCTATGACGTCCCGGACGGATGGAAAGAGCGCCTCGTCTCAAAGGTCGAAAAGGGTACTAACGGAACCGACTCCGAGTTCTTCAACCCCAAGAAGAAGTCGGAGAAGGAGTACCTGACCTACCTCGCCGGTTTCCGGCAGCTGGCGCCGAAGGACGCGGTGCTGAACAACCTGGCATTGTCGGACGTGTTTCTCCAGGACCTCATCGCCGGAGCCGACAACGTGTCGTCGGAAGAGAGGAAGGACGAGAAGGGACAGGTTTACTATGTGTATGAGATTGATGGAGTTGGTGCTCACAGCTTGATATCTGTGACTTGTGCCAATAACAAACTTTATGCGCATTTTGTTAATGCACCTACACCTGAGTGGAATAGGGATGAAGATTTGTTGAGGCATGTTCATGAGTCTTTTAAAACAGTTTCATTTTAATTAGGTTCATGTCTTGTTGATACAGATAAGAGAAAGCAATAATAAGAGGTATTTATTTATAAAGCTCTCTCTCATTTGTAGTCTATTTGAACTCAATTTTAGCTTTATAGATTTATTATAGTCACTAGCTGTTTGAATTTTTTTTTTTTTTTTAAAGTTGAATAACTCACACAATTTAGTCTTCACGTTCAATTTGAATTTTCAACCCTTTACTTTATACTCATAGTTAATATTGAATTAATTATTTGTTTGAAGATGTACTAATTTAATAAAAGTTTAATTTGGGTAGCTCAGAGAAAGTTTTGAGCTATTTGGGGTCGTTGAATGAGTGAGTGTCTCTGTTGACAGGTTTTTAATTTAAGAATAAGATCTACATTGTGTTTGGTGAGCATTGGAATTGAAGAAGGTGTTAGTTCAAACTTTATAGTATTCTTATTATTTTTCTTCAATTTCAAAATGCAAACACATGCATTGATTTTTGTTGGCTGTTGTTGAATTGGCTGATGCAAAATTTTGTATCACAAAATTAAAGGTGTGGGTTTATGGTTTGCGCATATCCCTTCAAAAGCTTTGTGATTTGGACTATATCTGAATTCATTTTGAGCTATTATAAATTTATTTTAGTTATTGTTATTTAATTGTTGGGTTAAAATTATAAAACTTTTTCTATTTTCAAAATCATGCATAAAACTCATAGTACAATTAAAAAAAGCTCCAGAACTAAAAAAACTTATCAAATTGCTCCCAAACTTGTAACCCATTCATTAAATGGTTTGTAAAATGTCAAATTTGACCTTGTTATTTAATATTAAATTAAAACTTATAATTATTATTTTAAAATTATAAAAATGCCCCTTTATAATAATATTATTTAATGTTAGACAAGTTGTTACCTTATTAGCGATCCATTACCCATTTCTAGTCCACAGTATTATTTTTTTAATTTTAAGATAATAATTATATATTTTAATTTAATATTAAATAACAATGTCAAATTTGACATTTCATAGCCCCATTTAATGGGTTGGTCTTGGGTTTAGGGATAATTTGATAAGTTTGGTTAATTCAGTAAATTTTTTAAATTTTACTATAAGTTTTATGTACAATTTTAAAAATAGAGGGGACTAGCTAGCTGCTACACTTTTGCACACCATTTGAGGCAACATATTGGCAAGAGTAATGTTAAAAGGAAAAAATAAAAACATGGTAGCAAGTGTGTAAGAGCTAGCTGCTGCGATTTGTAAGAATTTTCATTTTTTTTTTTTTTTTTTTGAAAGGTAAAGAAATTTATATATATTAATAAATTAATAATAGGAGTCCTACATTCGAATAAATCTAACTAATTTTATGTAAATATAGAGTACTGATGTCATCATGACGTCAACCCCACTCACGTATATTGATCGGATCGGAGTTATCCTACTTTTGAATTCTAAATTATTCATACCAGTATATATGTAACGACCCCATCTTAACTCGATTAAAATGGAATCATCCACATCCCCATCCATAGTTTGGTTAAAATAAGCAAATGGTTGAGCATCATGGTTACCGACTTAGCCCATCCATACTTATATATTTTCATAGAAAATGAGAACTTTATACCCAATTTTAAATTTTTCAATAATCCCATTGAATGAATGTGTTGTAGCTTCTTGAAAAAGTTGATATTTGGAATTTGAAATGAGATATCTCTACAGGATACATTCTCCTTAAACCTACATTTTGTTTGTTGTATTTTTTTTTTTTTTTTTCAAATTATAAAAAAAAATAATTCACTCAAAATTAAGGGGACAAAAATTAAAGAATGATCATTGCATATTTGTTCAACAAACAATATAGCTTGTTTAGCTGTACGTTTTTTATTTTTTTCTCTCTCATTTGCAAGAATTAAATTATGAATAAATAATCAATAATCATACTATGAATAATCATTTCTGTCTAGACGGATGTCTCCCCTCTTTTGACAAGTTAATAGTTTTCAATTTCTTAAATTCACCATTTTTAAAATGTAATTTTTGAAATTAGTGGTGATATCTGCATCCTTGAATACCACATATTCATATTTCAAAACTAATAGCTTTTAGCAAATTAAATTTCAGATACACTATTTCATGTTTCTTCACTTTCAGATCTACAGCTACACCATGAATAAAGAAACGTAGTCACATTCTTACTTAAACATATTTTTTGTTCATATCTGGGCTCCAATCCTTTTCCAACGTACTCTTTAAGGTTGGGAAGGTTATATACCATTGGGCTATATGCCCTTTGAAGTTAACACTGTTGGAAAATTATAATTGATAAAAATTGTTGAAAATTAATGCTAACACTTTTAATGAAAGGAAATATTTTGTATTTTAAAAAAAGAATGAAAAAAAAGTTTAAAAATAAGAAAAGGTTTTCCGGTTCCTACTAAGTACAAACAATACTTTTGGGGTTACGTCCGCGAGTCCGAGCTTTATCTAATCAGTGTGGAGGGCTTTGTATAAGTCTTGTAGATTAGTTGGGACAAAGTCCCGACATCCGGTTATGAAAAAAATAAAAAAAGGGTCATTATACTTCTTATAATTAAGTAGTATAAATGTACAATCCAAAAGGGAGAGGCCAATGAGATTGACAACAAAGTACACGACTAAACCCATGGCACAAGCCCAACCTAGATAGAAGCCCAATCCAAAAGTGAGAGGCCAATGAAATTGACAACAAAGTACACGACTAAACCCATGGCACAAGCCCAACCTAGAAAGAAGCCCAGCTAAAAAAAAAAAAAAAAAAAACCTTTAAGGCATGCTTAATTTATAACAATAGAAACAGTTTTCTATTATCAACTGAAATTTGTACAAAAAAATCTGCTTGGTTTAATTTTTAAAAAATTATTTTTAAAAAACTTAGGTATACAATTTTTCAGAAATTTATAAAAGATCATTTTTTGATAACAATTTTTTATTATCTGAGTTCTTGAGAAATGATTTTAAAATTACAAATTAAGTAGGACATTAAATTCTCAAATGACAATTTGTTACAATCAGGTGATTACTCTGTTACAGAGATTTGAGCTCTGCAGAACAATTAGTTTGTGGTTTGCTTACGAAACCAAATGGAATTTCATTAAAGAACTTTCATAAGCGAATATAGATATACATATACACACACAAAGATACTCGACTCACACTTCAAATGAGAAATTCAATAAGCTTTTAAGTGTGAGTCGAGCATTTGGTTGAAAGGGTCAATTTTCGGGTTGGGTTGGGTTGGGTTGGGTTGGGGTGGGTTGGGCTTTTATAACTTGAATTGTAAAATCTGAGTCCACCAATAACAAGTAAAGATGCGGTTCAAACTCTGTACACTACCTCCGATACAGCGTAACATTTGTTCTCTCACTACTGGTCAACAACTCTCAGCCATTAAATAGGGGCCGCCACTACTACTTCAAAACCCTTCTCTCTGTCTTTCTCTCTGTCTCTGTCATAGGCCACCATTGCCTCGATTCTCTCAACACTCTTTGGGAGGAGAGAGAAAGCCGGAGAGACCCGATCCCAAACCTCACACGCTTCTACGGAGATTCATCGATCCTCATAAGGTATACAGTCATTTCTCTCTCTACCCTCTCTCTAAAATCTTCATACACTTCTCATCGATCTTTGTTGTTATGTAGATCTGTTTGTTGAAGGTAAAGTCAATCGTCCGTGAACCAATATAATCTCTGTTTTTACGTTCATATGTATTAGATTTAATGGTTTTTGTGTTGATTTAGCAATTAAAGTTGCAATCTTCGATTGTTTCTACATTTCGTGAAAATAGCATTCGAACCTCGTAATGATCTGTCTGTTTTCCAGATCTGTGCGATTTGTTCATTTTTTGTGTGTGTGAACTCAAGGATTAGGTTTTCTTCCTTTACCGGAAATGTTTGGATTTTGCAGTATACGCGTCTATTTAATTACTTTTCAGTTCTTGTCCAGATCTACATTTCTATTGAAATCATATGCGTGCGTGATTATATATATATATATATATATATATATATATATATATATATCTTATATTAGGATTTGTTTAAGAAGATTGATTCGGTGCTATCTTTCTATGGTCAATCTTCGGATTTTTGTCTACGAAATGTTTAGTTTATTTATTTCAGTTGTTTCGCTATTTCGCTATTTCATCCATATATAAAAAATTTCTGGATTCTGTTTGCTTTTTTTTTTTTCTGTCATTTATATGTTTTGGTCAAAGATCAATCCTTTATTATATTATTGTTTTTTAGTAATTTATTTTAATTTTTTTTTAGCTATTTCGTTTTTTTGCTGGTTTTGGTTGTTTGAATGTCGTATAATATTTTTTCAATCTTATTATGTGATCTGAAACCTTTATTTATGATTCTTTTTTCTTCAGCTGTTTTTATTATGAACCGAGTCCTGTTATACAAGCACTGGATTTATTTCAGTTGGTGTAAATGAGAATTTTTTAATTAAAACTATAACAACATCTTTTGTATTATGTTTTTTTTAAAATTATATCTACTATAGTTGAACTGATGGTGGTTTCAGTCTAGTATTGTACTGGCTTATTCATCTGATTATTCTGAAGAAATGAACATGTTCTGTATTTGTTTTTATGATTTTTAAAATCATATATGAATGTGGTGGTTGTTACAATTTTGGTTTCAGTTTCATTTACCTCATTTTTTCTTTTCTTTTCTTTTTAAATTTGCTACCTCATTTATCTTTTTCAATTGATGTATCAGAATTACAAATGGCGGAGATTATGTTTGGTTATTTGTTATCTGTCCTGTCTATATTGTGTGGCAACCTAGAAAAAATGCTCGTCATGAGCTTTATATGCAGCAGTTAGGAACATGTGGTCATGTTACTCTATTGTTAGTTCATTTGTAGATTATTAATTATTATCCTCAGGGATACGGTCTGGATCACAATGAAAAGGAGTATCTGGAATATTCAACTTGGTCTTTGAGAGGTGGCCAGCTATGTTTTGTTTTAGTCCAGTTGGTTATTGATGGTGTTTCTATTTCATTCATTTATCTAATGATCACTTTATTTTATCAATTCAAGTTATTAAACTGTTGCTCTCATTTGCCACTTTTCTTCTGCTTTCTTATAAAGTAAAAGTAATAATGTTACTTGTCAAAAAAAATAAAGTAATAATGTTGTTATTTTGGGAGTGTTCTTTCATTATTTTTCTTTTCAGCTGTGTGCCCTGTTCTGTTTGAAGTCATCGGGTCAATATTTGTCCATATATGTAACTAAAAAGGAACAATTGCAAGGGGAAACTTGTTAATATTTGTCCCTATATGTAACTTAAAAGGAACAATTTCAAGGGGAAAATGTATCCATTCGTAATAATGGAAATTCTATACATTTATAGAACAGACATAAAATGGACATTTCCTAGCTATGGTAATGCTACAGTAGGGTCCTGGGGTGGAAGGACTTGAGACAGACCTAACCATTGGTCTTTGAGAAAGTGGCTGCTCTGATACTTTAACTCGCATGAATGACACTGTTGTTCACCAAGTGTTTAATGCTTGAACTATGCAGCAGTCCTCAAATTCCTTACATTTGTCACCTTTGCCTCTTTTTTCTTTCTTTCCTTTTTCTTTTTTTTTTATTGATTGATTTTCTAAATTGAAAGCTACGTCACCTACATACTTATTGCTTATCGGACTGTTGAACTGGTTGAATTGGTGTAGATGTAGCTTTATTTATTACTACCTCATTAGTTGGTTTATCTGAACCGCATTTCAGTTACCCATGATCAACTGGTGATTATGGCATGAACTTGATGATCTTAGATCGTCTTGTGAACTCTTATCACATTTTAGCAAAGAAGGGATGGGGTGCAGTTGGGATAGATCATTCAGATCTGAGATCTTGCTGATGGGTGTGTGGCGTTGGGATAGAGGGAAGAACAACCTGAAAATTGAAATGTTGCCATGTCATTACCTTTCCCCTACAATTTTGGCTTGCCAACGGTTGGTACATTTAGATATAATTTTCTACATCATGTTTTAATGTTTTTCATGCTTAGCCAACTGTTCCATTTCTTTGTACGTTGTGACTCATTCCACACAATTTTGTTCTGTTTGTGTTGAAAGTAGTGACTATCAAATATATAATTTATAATATAGTTGGGTTTGACCTCAAATGTTCATGTTTGTAGAGGAAGAGATGACGATCGATCAACCTCAATACCCAAGTGTTGCTCAACTTCTCAGATCAAGCCCAACTCAAGATTTTCAGGCTCATGATTTTGGTTTCCAACGCCCTTCTGTATACCAGAGGCAATTTAAATATGGGAATTACTCCAATGCTGCATTGCAGTATCCTATGGTGCAGCCTTGTCGAACAACTAATGATCTGTCAATGGTTTCTCCAATTAATTCTGCTATTTTCGTGCAAGCACCAGCTGAGAAAGGCATTGCTGGATTTGCCATTGATTTCCTCATGGGTGGGGTCTCTGCAGCTGTGTCCAAAACAGCTGCAGCTCCAATTGAACGCGTTAAGCTTTTGATTCAAAACCAGGATGAGATGATCAAGACTGGTAGGCTCTCTCAACCATACAAGGGCATTGGTGAATGTTTCAGCCGAACAATTAAGGAGGAAGGCTTTGCTTCATTATGGAGAGGGAACACTGCTAATGTCATTCGTTATTTCCCAACTCAGGCTAGTCATTTCTTGTCCTCTTCCCCTCAATACTTTTTCATATAGAATGATTCTTTCTCATATGCTCTATTATGATCAATGCTTATTAGATTTTTGAAAATTGCACCAGGCCTTGAATTTTGCCTTTAAAGATTACTTCAAGAGGCTTTTCAATTTCAAGAAAGACAGGGATGGTTACTGGAAATGGTTTGCTGGGAACCTGGGATCTGGAGGTGCAGCTGGTGCTTCTTCTTTGCTGTTTGTCTATTCCCTGGACTATGCTCGTACCCGTTTGGCAAATGATGCAAAGGCTGCAAAGAAAGGAGGAGAGAGGCAATTTAATGGCTTGGTTGACGTCTACAAAAAGACTTTAGCTTCGGATGGTATTGCTGGGCTTTACCGTGGATTTAACATTTCATGTGTTGGGATCATTGTCTATCGTGGTCTCTACTTTGGAATGTACGATTCTCTGAAACCAGTGGTCCTTACTGGAAAGATGCAGGTTAGTTACTCCTGTTTGTTTTCTCTGTTTTCTGACTATATTGGTAACAAGATGAGGCTGTGATAACTGTTTATGTTTGTTGGGTATGATACATGCATCTAGTTTCTATTAATTTACATATAATGACAATATCATCCTTGCCTTCTTGATCTAATTTTTACCAATGTTAAATGAGGAATCTATTGTTGGATAATGCAATCACTTCTGTCAACAAGGGCAATCAATTTATTCTTCCATTATTACAGATCACTTTTTCTTTTGTTTTGATACGATTTATGTTATGCAAGAATGAGTTTGGTTATATTTTACTCGGTTGCACATGGAAACTGTTAGATAAGTGGATGCCGGAAACTATAATCCAACATCACCACATTTTCTTTCTGTTTTGGTGCTTTCAGGATAGTTTCTTTGCTAGCTTTGCCCTTGGTTGGGTCATCACCAATGGTGCTGGTCTAGCGTCGTACCCAATCGACACTGTTCGCAGAAGAATGATGATGACCTCCGGTGAAGCTGTCAAATACAAGAGCTCCCTGGATGCTTTCTCTCAGATCCTGAAGAACGAGGGGGCCAAGTCTCTCTTCAAGGGTGCTGGCGCAAACATTCTTCGTGCCGTTGCTGGTGCTGGTGTGCTTGCTGGCTATGATAAGCTGCAGATGATCGTCTTTGGAAAGAAGTACGGATCTGGTGGTGGTTAATACAAGGTACTTCTTCCTTTGCCTTAAATCACTCGATGGTGATGAAAATCTTTTTGAGTTTTTTTCAAGGATTTGCCCCGGCAATTTTTGCTATTTGAATAATTCAGTTCTAGAGGGAGTCACTCCCAAACCTACTTTTCAATTAGATTGTTTTGCGGATCGTGTAATACCTGATAATACTAGAGCGGCTGCTGTTGCAAATGCAGTTCATTCGGTTTCCAATGAAGTGGTTTGAGACATTATCTTTGTGTTTTTGTTCGTCTGTTATCCAACTGAGAGATATGTGATGAATGCCAGTTTTCCATTCTTCCTTTCCATGATGGAAGTTGTTATTACCAGCTATCTATTAATTAGTTGTCCTTTTACCTATTTTTTGCCGGTATTTGTAGAAAATATTAAAGGCCTGTTCGGTTCAATTTGTTGAAAATTGTTTTCAAAGAACTACAAAAACCTGCTCTCTGAAATCGGGTCGTTTTAAAATTCATTTTAGAATATACTGTCGACCACGAACCAGTGAACTAATTGTCAGAAACTTGAACCAAATAGACCATTAATTGCTTCGGTGATTTGAATTTCATGGCTACTGGAAATGTGTGGAACATATTTACTTGTTTTGCATTCCCCGGGTAACGTTGAGGTTTATTACTAGAAACCGAGTTGTCAAATTAACATTTTATCCCGATTTAGTTTCTGACTCGAAGCTAATTAAGGTGAGAAATAAATATTAGATCACTTTTGTAATTGGTAGAAACTATTTCTATATATATTAATTTTTTTTTTTTGATGTATTTTTGTTGTATTCATGTACCTTTTTTAAAATATATATATATATTTACTGTATTATTGCGTTTGTATCATGCCTTACCGCAACTATTAAAAAGGTGCAAAATAATTAGGGGCATGCTTGGTTTGTAATTATTGGAACAGTTTTTTGTTCTTAGAAAATTGAAAATTGTATAAAAAATTCTGTTTGGTTCAGTTTTGAAAAATCAGTTATAAAAATGTTTGATTTTAAAGAATAGGTTTTTTATAGTTCTCTTAAAATTGTTCTTTATTTTTGAATTTCTGATAATTGTTTTCAGAGCTTGGGTTAGTTTGGTTTGTAATTAGTTTGGTTTGTAATTTTGAAGACAGTTTTTAAGAATTTACAGAATAAAAAATAATTTTCAGAGAACAATAAAAGGCTGTTGTTTTTAGAAAATAGTTTTAAGAAAATTGAAGTAAAGTGTTTTTTTTACAATTTTCTATAAACGGTTAAACCAAGCAATACCGATCTGTATATCTATTTCTATAATATATATAGTGTAAAAACTCATACAAAATTTGTGTGTCAAACTGGCACAAAATAACAGTACAAGAGATTATGCGCAATTGAAAGCTAGAAAGAAAAAAGAGGGAAAAAATATATATATATATATATATATATAATAAATAAATAATAAATAAATAAAAATTGATTTATGTGCATTTAACCCTTACAATAACGAGAATCAGAGTCAAGGCGCTATTTGAATAAAAAAAATTAGCTAATATACTGATTGGCAGAAGCCAAACATACTATAGTGCTCTTATTTCAAGGATCATCTATTTCTCCAACATAATATAGAGGCATGACCATACAAGAGAATCTAACCCTTTTTTGTTTTTTTTTTTACAAGGCAAGAAATATTAGAAGTTAGATTAATAGGTGTAAAGAGTCGAAACTTGACACTTTCAAAATTCACCGAAGGCACTAATTACTGGACAAGGCATCTACAAATCATGATGGAAGTCACTAATCCACTTGACAAGGCATCTACAAATCATGATCGACATGTAAGTGTTAGTATCGAGTGAGCAATCGAGGGGTTTCGATAGTGTTAGCCGAGTGAGCGATGGAGAAAGAAGGATTTTATATTGGGTTAAAATATTAAATGATTTAGTATTTGAAATCTCTAGGTAAATCGTTGGACTCAATTTGCTGATTTGAGATGTTTGAAATTATAATACAATCTTAAACCCAGGTTAGTTTAGTTTGTAATATCCGAACAATAAATTTGAAATTAGAGTTCCCAATTTCAATTCCAAAACTTCAATACAGTACTGTCAACATACCCACGCGGACACAGACCTATGTGCATATACCTTGCTATTTTTTTTATTTTTTTCATTATATACCCATAAAATATTGCTATTGCCTCTCTGAAATTATTAAAAAAAATTCATTCTTACCCCCCACCCTCTTACATAATATTCTTATTCCGTCCTGCATACCCATAATAAAAATAAGATCATGCTATAATTGCCGAAGCAATTAACTGAAATAAAGGGTCAAAACTATCGTAGCCCTCTAATGATGGTCGTGATAGTTTGATCCTCTACTTAGTTGGCTGGTTTGACGAGAGAAGTGTTTTTTTTTAAAAGATAATTAGACATTGTACGGAATCAGTATTTCACTAAACAGAGTCATGTGAAATACAAAATGTGCAGAGTTCTCTTTTCATTTTCTTTGATTACATGAAATTGGTGCATTAAAATTAAAATTGGACGAAAATTAATTCAAATTTTAAATTTATAACCTAAGATTTGCTTACTTAACCAAAAGGAGATAAATGAACAAATCTCTTTATAAATGATCTTTTTTTTTTTGTTATTATTGACCATCTTTTGAAAGTTCAATATGATGAGGATGAATATATTTACCCAATATGAGATATATTATATATATATAGAGAGAGAGAGAGAGAGAGAGGGGATGAATTCCTTGCTTGCAGACAAGGTCTCCTCTTTGGTCCCATCATGTATCTCTCTCTCTCTCTCTCTCTCTTCTCATTCTCTTGCATTTACTCTCTCTGTCCATTAGGCCATTACACAGAACAAAAGTGCTTTTAATTATGCATTCAATAGAGAGAGAAATGAATGGCTGCGTACACAGAACTTTACTCTAGGGTTAGTTTGGTTAGTGTGAAATAGCAAGAAAGAAAAAAAAAAATAAAAAAATTTAAAAAAATTTAACTATTTGGTTAGTCTGAAAAGGAAATTTTTCACGAAAGTAATATTCTCGCAAGTAGTTGATTTTTTAAAAATGTTTCCTCCAAAAAATCCCAAAAAATTTTAGTATCCCGTGAAAGTTGTATAATTATATTTTAATTCCCTATTATGCCCTTATTAATTGTTTATTCATTCGTCTCTTTCTTCATAGATATATTAGAATTCTATTATTAAATTATGATTTTTAAAATTAGGACTCTTTTTCACTTACAAAAAAAGTGAACTAATATAATGCAGTAATAGAGTCCTAATATATATTGCAACCTTAAAATAAAAAATTAAAATTTAAAAAAATTTAAAAACTATTTAATTACCAAATTTGTATTTGGACATATATATATATATATATATATATATATATATATATATATATATATATTCATAACCCAATCTTATATACTTTTTTATGCTATGTATATTATTTATATTAAATTAGTAAGGGTAGTTTTGGTATATAAAATTATTTTCTTTTCACTTTCCTACCATCCAAACTCATGGAACAATATTTTTTCACAATTTTCTTTAAAAAAATTCATACTAACCAAATGCATAATAGAAACTAAATTTTCTTTTTCTTTACCTCACTTTCTTTTTCTTTCACTTTCCACCATTAAATTCCGGCTAACCAAACAGACCCTTATTGATTTCCTCATTAACTGTTTATTTATTTTTTATTTTTTTATTTTTTTTTCTTAGTACTTACACACACATGTCTTCACTAAGGTTCAAACCATTGACATCTCTTTGAGAAATAGAGACTTGGTACCGTTAAGCCACTGGCCTGTTGGTCATTAACTATTTACCCTTTATAATTTAAGTCGAGATTATTAGAGGAGATGTGCAAAATATCTTATCGAAAAGTGATAAGTTATTTTTTATATATAAATTTTTAATGTTTTTTTATAAATATTTTACGACAATCAAATACCAAAAAAAAAAAAATTTTTTAAATTTAAAAATTTTACATCCAAACAAGCTAATCTAAAAAAAACATATGCTATGTAATTACATAGGCTTGAACATTTAATTGATTTGAAACAATAACAACCAACTAAAACTTTGTTGACAAAAGTTCAAACTCAAACCTGCAATTTGCAATGAGAATCTGTGGTGACAAATGCTATCTGCTTTTTGTTTTTGTTTTTTTAATTTTTAAATAACCTTGATATTCCTTATATTTGATTTTCGAGAATTGAATCAAGAACAATTATATCAAATATTCATTCAAGATTTCAGTAATAAAAAAAGGATAGTAATAAACCTAATAATGTTTCACTTATCCTAATACTCATAGGCAGCACCTCTTGTTTGATTCTTTTCCCATTGAAAAAATAAAAATTAAAAAATAAATAAAAAATAAAAAATTGGGATACCCCATATCCCTCCGGTATGGTTTCCTATCTTATCCGGACATATGTTATCCTATCCATCTACTGCTTCTGCTCATCCAAACGTGAACTAAAAATCTACCTGCTCAAGTCAGATGAAGACACAGCCTTATTACACAACAAAACAAGCTTTAGCCTTTAATTGTTATTATTATTATTTATTTTAGGACAAGACTTCTCTATAGATCATTCTTATTCATTACTATGTAATTTAATCGTAAATACACAAATGTAATTACAAAATCAGAAAAGTGGTAAATAAGTAAATTAAAAAGAGTAACCGAATGTATTTCAAAAAAAATTATTGTCATTATTTATCACTTTCTTAATTTTGTAATAACAGACCATTAATTCAGTTACCCTTTTTGATTTACTTATTTATCACTTTTCTGATTGTGTAATAACAGATCATTTGTGCACTTGTGATTGGATCACATCAACGGTATGTAGGACTAACCTACTCATCAGTGAATAAGCAAGTCTTGTCCTTTATTTTATTTATTTATTATTTTTTAAATTTTAATTTATTCATTATTCTTTTGACAATTACTTGAGATTTCAGTTCTAAATTAAGCACAAAAGATGTGGAGAAGATTCCTAGGATGGTTTGGATTCAGACAAAGATCTTAAAAGTTAAGTTAGAAGGAGATGATGATTTTGTGGAGCTCACTGATAGTGTTATGAGCTTAGCTTATATTTAGCCTTAAATTTAGGCTTACCTTTTATATGTAACACACATAAATATCCCTTTAACCTTTTAAAATAGAAAGTCCATAATTTCAGTCAAAGTGAGTGAGAGTGTGGTAGGTGGAATCATGCAAATCTAAATAGTAGTTAATTATCTATTTTTCATTTGGACCCAATTTTGGAATAAGAAAAATAACTTAAAAAGGAGTC